CATCTTGATCGTCCCTTGATGGCTGGCTGCAGTGTAGGTCATAAACTGCCTCCTCCATGTTAGCAGATGGGACAGGGGTCAAACTTAAAAGACAATTTACATGACAATTTCTTCCCAAAAAATGGTTTCTGTCATTTTCTGTAGTGTTTTATCACATTGATGTGTCTCCATGTGTTCATGTTTTGGATAAGTGTGGTTTTAATTACTTATATGATGTTGTAAAAATGGGATGAAACGTCATGATGACTGAGCACAGCTGAGACAAGATCGTGGTTGGTCGAGCATGTGTCGGTATGACCTCAATACTGCGTCTTCACTCCGTAATCACTGCTGCACAGACTCTGATTCCAAACATTGGGGCTCCATTTTAGTACAGTGGGAGGAAGTGGAGACATCCACACTACCTTGCACATCATGAGTGACAGAAGAGAGATGAGGGGCTAAATTATTTAAGTATCGTTTGACTGACCAACATGGCCTCCAAACTTGCAGAGTAACACCAAAGACAATTGCATTTGTCTCAGAGCTGTGGTTCTTTTCAGACAAGGGTTGGGTTGAGCAGAGGATGTCGCTCTCTGGAATTAAACTGTGATTTAAAGGAGACAGGATGCTGCAGAGGAGTAGACGCAGAAGAAGAGAGGTATTGTGTGTTCGGTGCAAATTCCTTATGGGGAAAACGCTGACCTACAGGCTGACCTGTGAGCGTCAGCTTTTATGTGTGGTTGTGCTGTGGAGTGTGCTACGGGAATTTGTTCATAAGTCTGCACTGTAGTTTGTGGTTAGTGGAGCCGCTGTGTAAAACCTGATAGGTCCGTATCAGAACAACTTGTCCTGATTGAGATCTTTAGTTCCTGTAGAGAATTTAAAATCCACATATTTACCACAGCGAAAATGCAGATTACATCTTTTAAAGGGACATGTGTGTCTGTGGCTACGGGGACTTTTTGTCGATACAAGTAGGACATGTTGCTGTTCAGAACCCAATGACCCATGATCTCTCTTTTCTCGCATGAGACTGTCAGTCACCCCAGTGGGTCGTCCTCTCTGCTTAGAAGTTGTAGCTACAACAGAGGATTAATGTCTTCACAGAGGCTGCTCAGTCATTGTTTGAACCACATGAGCCTCCAGAGGACGCTGAGGAAACCCCAACCCGTCTCATCAAGCAGAACACACCTCATCATGAAGGGGGTTTTTCCGGCTGTAACAGGCCACTGTGTTCGCTGAGGTGAAACCCACAGTGTGTGTGTGTGTGTGTGAGAATGGATTGACGAAGAACTGCCCACCCCACCCCCACTTCCCATCGTGCTGGGACTTGTGGACTTGGGATGCATTTCCCAAGCGTTTCAACATTTTCATTGATGTCCTCATACACATATATGTACTACAACTACCAACAACCAAGGTAGAGATGCATCTGCTCAGGGGAGATGAGAACAATGGCGGTCACTGTCCACACACTCTTTGCCGAATGTGGTCAAAATGTCCCTGTTTCATTTCACAGCTGTCGGAACGAGATCAGTGTGATCTTTCCTTTCCTTCGGAACACGCCGGACACTTCACACGATTTTCTAAACATGACCCCAATTGAGGGAATGTTTTATCAACATGCCTGCTTATGCTTTCTGTTTCATTCCACGCACTTTATAAAACAACAACCCCCCCCCCCCTCCAAGGACTGATAAGGCCTGTTTACAATCTGAGGCGACAGAGAGTTGGGGAGGATTACATGTGACTGCTGGAGCGGTTATTTAGTTTACCTCCCTCCATGCAGACGCTGAGCTCATTCCATTGCTGGTTATTAGTTCAGTGCTGCCTCTGATTTTAAGATGAGTGAGGCTGTTGTGCTAACACAGGCGTGTTTTTTTGTCTTTTTATTATTGTCAAACCACATCCTGAGAAATAATTACTTAACGCAATGTTCTGTCTCATGCATTGTGTGCTTTTATTGCCTCCTCCTTTTCCCCCAGTCAGAAAAAGTTGTCTTCTAAGCAAGTAATCTTTCCAACCCCCCCCCCAGTAGAGGGGAGCAGTAGAGAGTCGTCCTCCAACCAGAAGGTCGGAGGTTTGATCCCCAGTCTTCCCATCTGCATGCCAAAGTGTCCTTGGGCAAGATGCTGAACAACAAAAAGTGCTAGTAATAGATGCACTGTATGTATGAATGTGTGTGTGAATGGGTGAATGGAAAACTGTAGTGTCAAGCACTCTGATTGGTCATCAAGACTACAAAAGCGCTATATAAATACAACCACTTTTCTTTTTTTTACACATATACTGACGTCCCTGTTAATCCCCCGGCAGAAATTACTCCTGACAAGTGTTCTCAACATGCCAGAGGATCAGGTCAGTTGCGACTGACAGAACTTCAAAGCAGCCATTAAGAGGTTCATTGGAGAAAACATGCTCTATGTACCACGAGGGAAACAGGAACCTGAAGCTATGAGTTAAAGGCTTGTGTTTGTCTGAGCTAAAAGTCAGAGGATCGCCCCGACTGTGACGGCACTGATAAGGACAAAACAGACAAAACACTGGTGTGCTTTTGTGCGACCTTGGAGCAGTCATGTGAAAACAACTTATTTATATTTTGTGTACTTAAAGGTTGATTATGCACAAATTAAGCAGATTGAACAATCGAATTTCAAACTTAAATTAATGGTTCAATAGTTTACTCATATGAAAAAATTCATCTTCACTACTGTACGACTCCCTTGTTGGGTTCCCTTAAATTCAGTCAAGCCGCACCAAATTTCAAACACTCAGATATTACAGATGCCCTAAATATTCCTGATCTGTTTCATCATGATCCATGAATGATTCCCTGGGAAATCAGTGAAAATGTCAATAAAAATAATCCAATGTTAAAGGAAGTGATTAAAAAAACAAAATTTCATGGATTCTTCCCCCAAACCCATACTGAATCATACCGCTAATTTTCATGGTAATCCACTCAGTCGTTTTATGTAAAATTGCTCACAAACAAATACATCAACCAACAAACAAACTGCTTCTACATCTCAGTTTACCAGAGCAATGCAGAACAGAATGTTTGCATGAACGAACAGTGCTGCATCTGTGTTTTCTCACCACGCAGTCTGCTGGGACACAGAGGTCAGGCTGATTAGATAACTGTTGTGTATGCAGAGGAGCCTGCTGGGCTCAGGTGAGGGGTCCGACCCCTGACACCATGTTCTTATACAACCATTCGACTTCAGCGTGTACACAGCCTTGTGTTCTTGACATTAAGCAAACGCACCACATTGGAACATGACAACAAAAACGAGTGTTACATCAAAATGGGATTTCCCTTTTTTACTGACCTTTGACCCATACACATACACACATTCACACACTTATGCATAATCATGAATGATGAGTGGTTATCCTTTTGAAATGAGTCATTACTATGTGTACTCAGTTCTACTTCACGATGTTTACTAACCTTGTCATCATGTTGCAACTACGCATATGAAGGCACTGCTTCAAGATGGCATCCTTAACCGTGTCTCAATCATACTTGTTTGTTTTCATAACAGCCCAGCTCTTTAACCCCGTCCTTGACTTCGCTCACACGGCCTCAGAAGCATAGTTATAGGTGGGGTGTGTGAACAAAGCGCCGCCGACTGACTCACTGGTTATGTCAATAAAGTCAAGAGCGCCATGTGCTTTCTGTTATTCACCCTCATGCTGTGCTGACTCCTCACTGATGCCACATCACTTGGATGTATTATGTATATATTTGTCCACAGCAGGAGGAATATTTCACACATCTGTTTTTCCTGTAAACCGCTAAAAGGATTTTTGTTTTACTTAGATTTCACTTCAGTGCTGTTTTTAGGGTATAGAAGGGCACATGGCCAACCAGTCCTCATGGGAGACATTTAAACTCAATAGATCCATATTTTGATTTGGATGTGCACCAAATTACAGACATGTAAATAAATATCAATACCTTAAATAAAAAGAAAATGTTGAAAAACCCTACCCAATTTAAAGGTACAGTGTGTAGAATTTAGTGATATCTAGTGTTGAAATTACATGTTGCAGCTGAACACCCCTCACCTCACCCTCTCCTTCCAAACATAAAAGAACCTGTGGTAGCTTCAGTTGTCATAAAATCTCAAAAGGCGGCCTCCGTAGAGAGGGTCCCCTCGATGTCAATGTTTAAGTATTTAAATATAAAGGGCCTTTTCTGGGGTAAAGAAAACTACAATTCATACAATTTAGATGAAAAGCACTATTAAATTTCTGCTAATAGATCCCTTTCACCTAAATCTTACACACTGGACCTTTAATGACGTCTTCCTTGGGATATGCTCCACCCCTCCAGGAAATGTCATGTAAATTGGTTGAGTAGTTTTTGCCTAATCCTGCTAACTAACAAAGAAACGCAAGTGAAAACCTCTTTGTTTGACAGAGCTGTGCTGCACAACTGTGGTAAAACTCTGTTGATGTAAAGCGTCTTGATTCATCGTGCAGCTGCACTGACCGTCAGTTATTAAAACACCATGTCCTTGTGGGGGATGAAAATAAAATTTAACAGGATGATAAAAAAGGAATTACTATCTCAGTTCACGTTAAACATAACAGACATGACGCTGTGTTAAAGCTGCTCTCTTTGTTCAAACAAAAGTTTGCGGCAGAAGTGGACTTGGTGGCTGTTCTGCCCACGTTTTACACGATAAGTATTTAACCGTTTGCATGAAACTGTGAAGAGTCTGTTCCTCTCACTTCCATTGACAAAGACTTCCTCTTCTCCATCACTGGTTGCTACACAGGAAGTTCAAGCAGATGGACTTTATATACTTCCACTTTTCCTCCCCATATACATGCAGGACAAACACAGGCAGTCAATAGTGAGAAGTCTTAACACTATTGTATGTTGCATCACAGTCTTCACGTGCAAGCTTTGTACAAACTAGACATGGACAGTTTCCAACTTTTAACCTTACTTATGTCCTTTCGACAAAATGACATTTTCCTCATTCAAAAGACAACATGTTTCATTAGTTTTAGACAGTACATGACTTTTATTCATTACTGTGGCATGAGTGCAGTATCTGGAATTCCATGTCAGTGCATTTAATGGCAACAGTCTACAATGAAAAGAAGGCACTTCTGTGACCTACGTGTACTTCACACAAAACACAACACAGCCCTGTACACTTAAAAGCTTGATATATCATTTCTGTTAATTTAATAGACACTACTCTAACGTTAGCACCACAGCTCACCATGGAAGTGTACAGATATACAGGCACATGTAGCTTTCAGTATCATAACTCTCCTGCTGTCCAGTGATCACATTCCCTTCCAGGTCACCGGCAGAGTAATTGCGCTTAACACAATTTCCACAGGAAAAGGGGAATTAATAAGTAGTAATAAATAAGCATTAAATCCACAGATGTGAACAAAGGTTCACATAGCAGTAACACTGTAGAGCAGGGTCTGTCAGTGACAGGTCCAAATATTCGCCCTGAGATGAGAAATAAGATAATACTTCTTTGGCAGGTGCTTCATAAAGCACTAATCGATTCCCGTGGTCTCGCGTGGGTTTGTTTTTCACCAGAGAGGTGGATTTTTTAATACCTGAGCGTAACAACTCCCCCAGTCACACTGAAGACTCATTGTGAAAGACTTTAGCTTTTAGATTCCTCAGGCTGTACTGCAGGTTGGAGCTGGTTTCTGACTGCAGCGCCTCGGAGAACTTGGCATCATACATGCGACTCGCCGGAGTCTTCCTCTTGATGGAGTTCTGGATGGTCTCTGAGGTGAAGTAGTAAACAATGGGGTCAAAGCAGCAGTTGGACACAGCGATGCAGAGGGCCACCGGGTAGATGGTCCGCACCACGGACTCCACCGAGCAGCCTTTTAAAGTTTTGGTGCGGACCAGAGAATAGAAAACTAAGTTTACATTGTAGGGGATGAAGCAGAAACAAAAGATAAAGAGGTGGACAATTATCATGCGCAGGATCTTTGTTTTGTTCAGCTTCCCCCCCTGGCTGATGGTTTGGGGCCGACGCAGCGTCTGCAAAACCATGATGGAGCAGCAGACGTTGAGAAGCAGTGGGATGATGAAGCCCACTGTCTCTATGAATATCACCACCTTGGACAGATGAGCTTTCCACTGCTTGGACGAGAAGTTCTCGAAGCAGAATGTGGCGTTGGTCGTGTTGTTCTCCCGCGAGGTGGTTTCCAGCAGGAACCCTGTGGGGAGGCTCCCCGCCAACACCAGCACCCACACGGCGATGCACACTATCTTTGCGTTGCGTTTAGTCCTGAGCATCCTTGAGCGAAAGGGGTGCACGATGGCTAGGAAGCGATCCACGCTGATGCAGGTGAGAAAGAGGATGCTGCCGTACATGTTGGTGTAGAACAGCGAGACGGACACCTTGCACAACGTGCTCCCAAAAGGCCAGTTCTGGTTGATGAAGTAGAAGACCCTCAGCGGCAGCGTGAAGACAAACAGCAGGTCCGACATCACCAGGTTCATCATGTAAGTGGTGGTCTCGTTCCTCAGCTTCAGAGTGCAGGTGAATATGTAGATGGCCACGACGTTGGTGATGAGTCCCACCACGAACACGATGCTGAACACCGTGCTGTACAAAGGGTATTTGAAGCCATCGTTCTTGCTGCAGGTGGAGACGGAGGCCGAGTCGTTCCCAGCCCACGGTGATGTAAAGCTGTTGTGTGTCGTAGTGTTGTACATTGTCAAAGAGTGGAGGGATGAGGGGTGTCTGTTATGTAATGGCTATATAATGAAAAGGCCACCAGGCACAGGACAGTTTTAGAACAGAGAGACACTCAAGCCATCGGCACAAAGATTTCCCTCCAATTCAACTGTTCACGTTAGAGCGAGCTGCAGCTCCACATGATCCCCTCCCTTGTCTTGATGTAGTTATTTTGGGGGTTACCTCATGTTGAAGAGACCCCTCCCAGGGGACAGGGCTCCAGCCTGGTGTGTCCTCCCCTCCCCCTGCTCTATCTCTCCACCAGGCTTCACCCCACGAGTTGAAGACTGAGCTTTACTTACTCAGAAGAATCAGCCACACAAATGTTCACAGATCAGTCAGGGATGATGATGGAATATCCACATTCAGGGTTCGTCTGAAAATATCTTAATGGCATTATCCCTCCTCTTTGTCATGACTCAATCTGGTGGTTTCTGTTTGTCCTTCTCAGTCTCACAGCCGCAAACTTGTCCTCAGCTCTCTGGCTCTCGTCCTGACCACCATCCACAAGGCTTCTCCCCCCAGGAGTAGAAGGGAAGCTGCAGTCTAACTCTTGCTTGAATGAGTTTCAGTTTGTCTTCAGGGTGTGTTTCCTGTTTACCCCTCGTCTCTCTCTGCCAGGCTGAGTCACTCAGTATCTGCGGCTCTCTCTCTGTGACAGCCTCAGGCGCCTCGCTCTGCACGCATCTCGCTCAGGGACAGCTCCAACTTCTTCTTTGTGCCTCTGTAGCAGAAAGATTTTGTGCTTTGAGTTGGAGAGCAGCAGTGGTAACTCCTCCCTCTGCCCCCCGGTCCAACTCCTCCTACTCCTTTGTCTGCTCTCATGAGCCAAACAAACAATTCATCAAGACTTCACAATGTGCTCAGCAGATCCTGATGCACGGATACACTTTTAAAATAAACACTTTGAAATGGTCTCATTTCAGCAGCAAGTGAGCAAACTTGAGTCTGAGTGCAACTATATATGACAACTATATATTTCAAGTTGTTTCAGACTAATGACAAGTGCTTCAATATCTTTATAACCTTTTTATTTTGCTGTTTGATCCATTGAATAAAGTTCACAGGCCTCAAAATGATTATATAGTGTTCTTCTCAAACTCTATTCAACAATATAACACACACTCATAGAAATGTTTTATCCATCAAGATCCATGAATTATTACCTGGGAAATCAAAAAATGTGACAATTACATTACAGTAATATACTATTTATTACCCTTTCCGTATACTATGTATACCTTTTGAAATACCTTATAAAGCCTTATAGCTTATTTCTGTGTTTTACATTTTTGTTGTGTTTTATATATTGTGTGTTTTTTACGTTTTATAAATTGTGTTTTCATGCTGCACTGTTTCCTTTTTTGAACATCATCCGTAGACTGTGTATATGGATGAGTGACAATCAAGTTGACTTGAAAAACTGTATCACAATGTTAAAGAAAGTGAAAAAGAATTCCTGGAACTGAACCAAAGTTCAAACATTTCTTCCATGGATCAAATCCAACTCCTCCACAAAATCTTATATAATCAGATGTGTATTTGTTTGCATAAACCTGGCTGACAAACGTGGAGGTAAATATATAGTAACTGCATACATTTACTCAGTACTGTACTTATGCAGGTTTGTACTTCTACTCCACTGAATCTCAAGGGGAAATATTCTACCTATTTTTGCTCCATTTTAAGAGGAGGAGTAGCTCAGTCCATAGAGACTTCCAAAGTATGGAAGGTGGACTGGTAGCTGGAGAGGTGCCAGTTCACCTCCTGGGCACCCCCCCAAATTGCTCACAGGATGCTTTTCCGGAGCTGCCTATCACTCCACCATCTCTCTCCACATTTGCATGTCTATGTGCCCTTTGTGTGTGTGGTATTGTATCGCATGTAAAAAGAATTCCCCCTTGAGATATCAATAAAGTATCTCTTCTTAATCTGCGTTTTCAACCTGCGTTTTCTGCGTGTTTGTTTGTGAACTATGCTAAAACTACTTATCTTACACCAAAGTCATGCATGTCTATGGGACAGATATTCATGAGTGTGTTGAAGTTAGTGCAGATCAAAATAAAGATCTGGATCTATTGAGTTTGGATGTGGTTTCATAAAAGGCTTTGTTTGAGGTATATAATTTACTGAGTGACATTCGAGAATTTATATTTATTTTATTTATTCTAATTGCTAGTTACTTTGCAGATCAAATTATGAAACATATTTAAAACCATCAATCATTTAAATACAGTAAACTGCTTTAGGTTGTATCTAACTCTTCACTGACACAGGCCTTTTTATTTGCATCACAGCTACTTTTACTTTTGATATCCTAAGTCAATTTTACTGCTAATGCTACTGTACAGCTGGAAAATGATTCAACAAATTGAGGTAAACCTGTTTTTTTAATGAGATGCTGGTTGACTTGTTTTACCTTCATCAGTCAAGATGTCACAGAAGACGTAGGAGGTCAAAAGTGCCTGAGACGGTCAATAAAACCCTGCAGAGGCCTGAGGTGAAGGCCTCCACAGGTCTGCTGGGAGGTGCAGGGGAATTGAACTGTCTCCTGATTGTTTTTGATTACTTGCGTGGGCCGCAGCTCTGCTAAAGAGAAGAACAGCGGTTTTGTCTGAAGGGGACACCGGAAGTGAGACACAACAGAGCACTTTTTCTATTCAGTGGTTTCTCAGCTGCCCTTGTCAGTGCGTGCCCACAAGCTTTTTCCTTGCAGCGCCGTGTGAGAGTTGCATTCAACTTCTCCTTCAATAGAAACACTCAACTTGGCAGTCAGTAAAAAAACACACTGGGGCGAAAGAAAACCAAATTTGAAAACAGTCATGCAAATTAAGAGAATTTGCTGAGTTGCTTTTGAATATTTACCCCATTTGAACGAGACTCTACTGATACAAACATGACACTAATCCAGAGATTGGTGGATTTTTCACTACGATACTTCACAGAGTTCCCAACAATAGTCAAACAAATGAAGGAAAATCTTGCTGGGAATCAAAGAGACAGTGGGTGTTTAACAGCCAGCGCGCCTCTCTTTGTCAGTCCGCCACAAAATAAACACCATCAAGGCTGGAGCGAAGCGTTGGAGAAAAACAGAAACACTTGGGCTATTGTCTTTCACTCGCAAAATAGTTCCATCCAGCGCATAAAAACAAGCTCTTCACATACGAATATGTGGTTACGAAACAAAAAACATGTGCCTTGAAATCCCTGGACTGTTACATTTCTCACAATGACAGGAAGCAGTCTGGCACCCCCAAGGCCGAGAGCGAAGGGCTTCAAATACCAGACTGAAATGTATGAGAAAGATAGCAGGTGACATCACGCTGCTGTGTGATGATCATCAATGGACGGAGACAGATTACAAATGCAATGACGAGTCAAGACTTTACTGAACACTTCATGTTGTAAATGTGACTCAACGTGGATTCAAACTTACATGTCATGTTACTGGTGTAAGAAACAGAGACGGACCTCAGCTAACTGGTTAAACTGAGTAATGATGGATAGATGGATGGATGGATGGGTAAACAAACGGACAGACGGATGGTCAAATGGACGGATGAGAGGGATAGATAGATCGATCGATGGATAGATGAAAGATAGATAGAAAGAAAGAAAGAAAGAGTGTGTGACTTGGCAGAATGACACTGTGTTGACAAAGAGCCTTCGGGCCAGATTCTCTGACGTTCACCTTGGTAACAGAGACTTCATGAATGTTGTTCTGGCAGCTACATACAAACCAATCAAAAAAAAAAAAACAGTGGAGGCAGCAGAACCCTGCAGAGCAGCAGTCCACACATGAAGCCCTGAGGCTCAGGAAACGTTCCAGAGCTGCCACAGCTACAAAAACTCTCAGGGAGTGGAGACCAGAGCCCCGACACAAACCACACACAACTTTCTTTGAGAATAAGAACATGGAAATATAAGATATAATGTTTTATTTCAGAATACAACGACAGAGAATCTCATGTCTGCAATGAGAATCAAAACTTTATCTCATCTCCTTCTTTTTAAACCTCAGTGCACATACAGTTTAATCTGTAAATGAAAACTAAAACAGAGTCTTGACATTTAAAATAAGAAAAACACGAGTCTCTGCTGTGTGTGTGTGTGTGTGTGTGTGTGTGTGTGTGTGTGCTCCCCCACATGGCCTTATCAACTGAAGACTTTGTAAAACAAACACTAACCACCCACAGACCCTTCAACCTCCGAAAAACAGACTGAATGTACCGTCATTTAAAAACTTTTAACTGCAGGTTTTATCAACTCAGTGTCAACACTGTGGAGCCGCAGCCCCCACACCCTGTTCAGTTAGTTTAATGCAATTAAACCACAAGCTTTTGGATGATTAAAAGACTTCAACTATCAACTAAATGATCAAAGTGTTGAGATATGTGTGTGTGTGACTCAGTACCAACAGTACCATGATCAAGCAGACACTGTTGCATGTTGTGCTAAAAAGGTCAAAACTCAAAATCAGTATAAACGAGGTTGTTTCACACACTCATATCAGACCCCTTTATGTGCATGATTTGTATAATTGAGATCCATGAGTTATTTCCTGCAAAATGTCTAATAACGCTGTATCTCACTATGTTACAGAAAGTGATGACCAAAAACTTCCTTGATCTGCACCAAACTTTAAAGGGTTTTTCTCTGACCCACCCTTCCTCCAAAATTTGTGGAAATAGATCCAGTAGTTTTTTGTGAAATCTGGTTTACAAACAAATATACAAACCAACCAAGAAACAAACAGACAGGAGTGAGAACATAAGCTCCTCTTTCATTCCCCTTCTCTGGTTTAAGCTGAATTTTATATGAATACATTACCCCCCCCCCGACCTGCTGCAACATGCAAATGAAGCTTTTACTCCACTTAACTTAAAGGAGACTTAAAGGGCTTCATTGGGATATGAAGCCATAAATTCTTCATATCATCATTTTTTTTTTTGAAATGGTTCCAGGAGGTTCACATGTGGCAGAGCGCCAGTTACGGTTGGCAGCTGTGTGTATTTCCTCATTTCATGTGTATTTGTTTACCTTATGTGTCAACTCTGTTTAGACTAAAACCTATTTATCTTGACTGGCTGCTTATATATATATATTTGTTATTTTATGTCATAGTATTTGTGTGATAAGGAAATAAAATTACCTGTGTGTTAAGTTTTCCTTGATGTATTTGTGTTTAAGAGTTAAAGACATTACAATTTCCTCAAAGTAATATTGCTCAGTCAGCAGGGAACATTGCACCGAAGCCATACGCTCATAAATTTAGCATCATTTGTTTTTGGGAGTAGCCATTAGCTGGAGCCGAGTAAGTGAATTATCGTCTGTGAGCTGCTGATCTGGCTTTCATCACCATGTGCCTGAACATCACAAAGCCTGTACTGTTTAGTTTCAGTTGAGCCTCTATTAAAATAGGAAAATACATTTTCTGTGGGAAACGTATCTTGTAAGTTAACTGTGATATTGTTCTGACAACATCCTTAAACGTCCTGCAACAGAAATACACGAGCATATTGTAACACTGTAACCACATCAGGAAACCTAGAATTTCGAGAGGTTCTGCTTCCAGGAAGTAACTGTGTTCTATGTATTATATATGATGTTATTCACATGTTCGCATTTGTTCCATTTAAATAACATAACACTAACAATATTACATAAGAGATTTTCGAAGAGAGTTTCATTTGCCTGCGTTTAATGAATATCAAGTGTCTCTTTATAGTGGAAATACATGGTTCAGTTAAAGCAACATTAACATGCAGAGGAGTGATGAGTAGATTTTTTAGTGAGGGCATTAGACAAAACAGGGGGCAGGTGCAAAAACCACAACATGTGCTCAGCAGTTCAGCACTTAGATTCACGAGTGTGAAGACAAATTCAACTACGACACACTCCAAATGGTGCTTGAGGGGCTGCAGAGGGTCCCTGGAAAAGAGGGGACCTTTTATATTCCCAATATTTTCATCCAGAGGTAACCCACTGACAGAATCGTTTGTGTATTTTGGTCCTGCATTTCAAACTCAAGCAAAAAATCTTGTCAAACAGGGGTCCGTGGTATAGTTTGTGTCAGTTAAAGGGTCCTTGAGGTGCAAAGGTTTTGAGAACCACCCTTGACGTTAGAGTGGAAAACAAACAGGCCATATTCCAACACACAAATTCCTTAACTGGAATCCTATCATGATAAATGATCATGATTCCATGGTAATATCTACTGAGATAATGATATGATGAAACCCTTTTTTTTTTTTTAGATTGAGCCCAGCTGTATCAGCCAGACAAGGAAGGAAGCCGACCATTATCAAACGGCGACTATCTCAGGATTTGTTTAACTGAACAGACACGGGCAGGAAACAAACTCTGAAGTGGATTCAAACCTGAGTGAACAGGAACCTACTTCTCCCTTAAAACCTCAAGAATTGTAGCTAAAACATGAGTAAAACACTGATTTTTGTAAAGCAAGGGAATGTACATACATACAGTAGATGTGTTGGTGTATTGATGGATGGTTTTAATAAGGATGTAACAAAACTTCCAAAAGTCCGAAACCCTTTTTGTAACCAAATAACAAACTTGATAGAATTAAAGTCCGTTATTTTTACAAGTCTGACAAAACCTTATTGTTTGATTTCAAATCTTTGTTGTATTATTCTTTCAATTAAATTCAATGGGAAACTACAATTTTAAAATCAGTCTATGTGCTGTCTGATGGATTAGATATGCAATTGGACAAAAGACTTATCGCAGTTTGCATTTTGTTAACAAAATATTGTTTACCAGGATATCTTCTTCAATTGTGTAAACATTCAGACAAAGGCTTATAAAATGATTCCATAACAGACCAAAAAAAACCCCACATCCATCAAATTATGCAGTTATTCATTTTAATACCTTTTAGACTGTCACATGTTCAAGTTAGTGCCGCTGACAGCAGTGTACAGAATGTTTCATACAAAATGACAGCATAGGCTTTTTGTTTTTTTAGAAATTATCAAAATATTCCAAATAAAAAATAATAATAATTTGTTTGTTAGAGAAAAAGCATTTTGTTATTCTGTTTGGATACATTTAGCAATTTAATATAGAATTATGTGATAACTACATACGTGGTATATACTACCTGGGCTATATTCAACACAGCTTTTAAAATAAACTAATTTCCAAAGTGCTAGCAGGGGACAGGGGACATTAAGAAACCCTTGAAAAAAGAAGCAAACGTTTGCTGCTAACATATTAATGATTTTTTTAAAAAACTGAAAAATGACAACTTCCGTAAACAAACCAAATAGCAGTGAAACACAACTGTAAAATCAGCTGCATCTACAGTGTGGCATCATGGACAGGCTACACAATGAGCTTGTGTAAGTCACACAGTTTCCAGCTGCACACAGAGGGATAATAGGAACACAAGTAAACACGCAGTAGGGCATTCTTCTTAACTGACAACACCTTCTTCCATCAGTCTTCTGACGGTGGCCAGCGCAAGCAGTGCAAATGTCAATACATAAATCAATCAGTGACTGAAAGTTCGAATGGCAAAGGTTAATTACCACAATACAAAACAACGGGGGATAATTTAACAGTGACTTACACAAGAAACTGATTTTGTTGATAAGATACAAATTATAATTTTTCAGGAAAAAAAAAAACAGCTTGATTTCCCTCATTAAAATCTACTTCTCAATCTGGAAAAAGGCGTCAAAGAAAAACAGCACAATGTGAAAGGTCAGTTCCTGGCTGACGTGTTTGTTTCTGATCACTTCCTGTCACTAATGCTCACACATTGCGTGCACTGAACGATCATTCGCTTTACTTCCTGTTGCAGGGCAGTGATCTACAAAACAAACCATGGTGCTGCAAAGACTGATGCAGCTACTTCACGTGTCCTGTCTGAGCTGGTTGCTGCTGCACCACATCAGTCGGGTGACAAGTTTGATCAAACAAATCGGATAGTGAATCAGCCGAGCATTTAGTCAATAACACAAAGGTGACAAAAGGACGACCACACTGTCTGCTCGTGACTGGGGTGGGAATTTACCCACCAAGCAGCCGCTGTGTTTGGAAGAGGTTAGGCCATTCACACAGAGGCATCAGCAAGAGGGTGAAATCTTAAACCATTTGCCCCTCCAGTGTTACACCCCCAGCCACAAGGCTTTGAAGCACTGATCTGCCTCATGTTTACTTTGGTCTAGGGTCGACCCTCCAGACCAGGGTGAGCTTCAACTAGTCACTACAGGGGCACTCTAGTCAGTTTTTGAAGGCCCCATAGCGGCTGGCTTTGATAATGAAGTTCTTGAGCAGGTCATGGTCCATGTCCTCAAAGGCCTGGGTCTGCGTGACAGCTGTGAGATGGTTGACGCAAAACTTGAAGCAGAACTCCTCCAGGTCCTAAAAATGAAGAGGGCCGTCTTGTCAATGGTGAGGGGTATAACCGACTAGCTACTGTGAAGGCAAGGCACCCACCACCATGGTGTCTGACTGTGTGTCAGTGGCTATGAGCTTACCCGCGCCTCATACTTGACAGCAGCAGAGAGCAGGGTGATGGCGTTCTCCTCTGAGATGCCTCTCTTGATAGTTTCCTGGCACAACCTCTTCAGCCTCGTCTCTCTGTAGAATGTAGCCAAGTCTAGCAGCCCTGTGAAAACAGCACACAAGTGAGTGTATTCAAGACTTGTGCACTGACTTCAGTGGTGCTCGGAGTGTTTAAGCAACTGAGATTCAGCTCTGGCCTTACCAATAGCATCCTCTGGTGGCAGGTTGATAGTGTCTGTGTAGAGGTACTCCAGAAAGGCTCTGTACACCAGGTATGAGAACTGATGGATTTCTATGGAGTCCTCGTCTGTTTCGTTCAACAGTTCACGGAAATGCTCGCACCTACAGCGGGAAGAAAGGCAGCTGATGTTTCATGTGACATGATAAAAGGATGTCATTAATAACTGCATGTTTAAACCTACCTATTACAAATGTATGAGACTTGTTCAATTTGATTGATTTTAAGAGCCTGCTAATTACTTTATAAACTGTATGGATGGAGTATGATCAATAGTAAAGTAGCCAAAAACTTCACTTAAGCTATATTCAGACATGAACCCCAGGTCCAGACATTTCCTGGTGTTTGTCTTTCACATATGAAGCATGGGCTAGAGATAAACAGGTCAGTGTTCAGGTGAGGGGCGGTGTGTGGATGAGTGCATCTCAAACATATCATTTGCATGTGATTTAGCCAGAGCAGGCTTTTTTACTTTCACTGCTGCATATTCGTAAGATCATTTGCACCATGGTTGATGTCGCAGATAGTCTGGCTCCTTCCTACTGACCTACAGCCAAGGACTGGAATGCACATACTTTGTGTACAAGTGTGGTTATAAAAAGAAAAATAGGAAACAATAGGTCTGTCTTCGCTTCCCTGTGACATTAACAGGAAAGACGAGGAAAGGCTGTTCAACTGATGGCAACACAGGACAGTCGGTTTATGTTATATATGTATATGTATGGTAAATACCTGTATGTTTCTCTTGATTTTATGTTTCTATAGTTAATAATCACTAAGTTTTCAAAATGTGTTTCTGTTACTCTGAAATACCCCCAGTGTGTTCTATACAAAGGAACCTTCATCACTCATGACCACACACAACCCCACAGTGATGCAGAGATTGGCAGCACAACATCAGAGACACAGTTTCTATTCCGACATAAGGATCATTATTTGCACCCAGGAGGTTTTTGCTACTGTAAATAATAATAAGTGTATTGAAGTATTCTGTGTGGGTGAGTACACCTCAACATGTTTGCACACATTGTTCACCTAACCAGAGATACTATAGCTACTCAAAAGTCCTGTGATTGAATGGGAAATGTGTTGTTTTGGGAAATTTCTCTAGACTCAATTTTTAAACATTGTGATTTGATCACAATAACCAAAAAGCACTGGTTCACATTTTCACCTGTGACTCGACAGGTTGTTTGTTTTCTGTACCTGATTTTCAACAGAGCTTTGTGAACATGGATACACTTCCCATCAACCAAGAACTTCAGGTCTGAAATCTCTGGGCTGTCAAACTCCTTCTTCAAAGACTGAGCTACAGTCATGTAGTCATCACCATCTGAAAAAAGAAAAACAAAGCAAAAAAGTTTTGTTTTTTTTCAGACGGGGAAAACGAATCTATGCTATGTTGTGTGTTACGTCTATTTTTCAGCACTTTAACAACTGGTGCACTTCACTGTAAAGATATAGCACCTATGTACATGCTTCATGAAAACAGTATTTTATTGGCATGACCATTTAAAATGATGCTGAACTGATGAAAAGATAGATAGTAGATATTTGAAAAGGAAATTTAATGCAATCAGAGATTAAATCGCTCCTTGTTCCTTCAACACTTAGGTCTTTTTACAGTTGAAAAGGTAACAACAGAAAACTATAGCAGGTGAGAGAGTGCTAGAGATTTCAGTGGCTTGTTTGATAAACAGATTTACTGGAGCATGTCATTTATAAAGCACAGTAAAAAAAACTGTATCTCAAAGTGACCTGTACAGTATGTCTGGTTGAGCTGAAATCAATCCCAATGTATGATTATTTGAAGTGGAGAGGAAACATATTTTCCTGTTAAGTTCTAAGAAATTCTAACTGTAACACATGCACATTAGAAGATACAATTAGGTCGACAGGACAGTAAATGAAAAAAAACCCCCCTCCATTACTGAGGATGTCTGAGTTCTGGGGCTCTTAGTTTTCCTTTATATTCTTACTCGACACTTACCTACTGAGAGGAGATGCCACGTGACAGCAGGTGTGGCAAAGCATGCGAACACATCGTCTGTGCTACTGAAGTGGGTGATGTGGGGACTGGCCACAGCTTGACCTCGACACTGACCCCACATCAGAACCTGCCCACTCTGGGTCTTGGCAGCAGACGTGTGGCTGGTGTGACAAGCAGCCACCTCGACCATCCTAGTGACAACAATAGAATTCAAATTTGAAGTACTGCTAAGGTTTATCATGCAGGCTGTGGGTTGACATATGTCGTGAAGGACGTTGTCATGTAGCCCTTGGTGATGTGTTATGGTGGCAGGAAGGTGTCAGTGCTAATTTTAGGCTGGGGTGAAAAAGAAATACTCACCTCTCCTTGTCTGTGTTTATTTGAGTGGGAAGAGCTTGGTTGCTCTTATTGCCTGTTCCCAACTGCCCATACGAGTTGGCACCCCATGCGTAAACTAACCCCTCATCTGTAAGTGCCAATGTATGTGCATATCCACAGGCAACCTGCACATAGGAGGAGAGCAATTAATCTGAATGTTAACTTTGAGAAATAGTCTAAAGACTAGTCTATAGAATAAATAGTCTATAGAAAGAGAGAAATAGAAAGAATTATTACCTGGAGGATGTTGACACCCTGAAGAGCAGCGATCCTGCACGGTGTCTGCTGATTTCCATTGTTGCCCAAACCTAGCTGTCCATTGCAGTTGTAGCCCCAACCATAGATCTACCAACAGGGGACAAATTCAGATCAATGCACATACTATGTCAAGACACTGTTACCTCTGCCCAAGGAGGTTTTCACCCCCTCCAATGGTTTGTTTTTAGCAGAATTAAGTGAAAACTACAGAATAGATTTCCACATAACTTGGAAGGATAAAAGAAATCTTATGTATTTAGAGGATTGATATCTATGAGTGTGTGCAATTTGCTGCAGCTTGATTGAATTTAATGAGACTGTTGGGGCTTGGTGGAAGTTCAGTGCAGGGTTTAAACACATGATTAACTTTTCTCAACTATTCTCTTAACTTTCTTTTAGTGGATATATTTAAATCTGAAATGTCCCTATTTGCAAGAAACGTATTCATTGCAAACTATGATGAGCACTGTCTTCATGCATGAATGAGGAAGAAATTAATCCATATCTTTCATAGAATGATGAGCCATGCCTCTACTGTACAAACTGCTAAGCTCATGATTATCTTATGCTAAGCTGCAATGAACATTTTTATTGGCCAACCACTTTAAAAAATAGTTATGAGTTGCTGACTGCCACAAAATTAACTTGCAGAGAGCAGTCATTCAATTATTCGTGCTAAACATCTGCAGACTGATGTGACCCATTACTTCTCCATTGTCCAGAACAGCCATCGAGCAGAGCTGACCACAGGCTACGTTAACCACCACTTTGTTCTGCAGGCAGCTGCTGACCCTCCGTGGTGTCGGCTGGTTGGCGGTGGACCCAGAACCAACTTGGCCCGAGTTGTTGTATCCCCATGCATAGACCTGAACACAGGGATAAAACTTATCACAGTCCAAAGAAACACAGATTAAGCTGAAAGAAAAGTGAGGATAAATCACCTCTCCATCAGTTGTTCGGGCAATAGTGTGGTGGGAGCCACAGGCCACCTCTGTTACCCTCTTGCTCAGGAGGTTGGTGGACACAAGGGCAGGGGTCAGTCCATGGTTGGTGGTCCCATTGCCAAGCTGGCTGTAGCCATTGTGGCCCCACGCAAACACCTCTCCATCTAAAAAGCAGGAGGCAAACTCATTCTAATAAAATATTAACCACTGTAAAAACATGAACAGATAAGAGCAAGTCGACTTCACATAAATTATAGCAAAGCCTCAGTACAACTCTAAGTAGAAATTACAAGAGATCTAAATTTTCTTTAATTGACATTTATGAAGTTTAAATGTATTTGCAGAAAAATACATCAGAAAATAATATTATGTCCAATGTGACGTATGTGAAAACTGAAAAAAAAAAGAGAGATGCCAACGTTGATGAGGAGTTAAAAATACTGCCCACTTCATAACCCAGTAGCAGGACATGGAAAAGTAAATCAAAACAGGCCCCTAACTGGTTTATCATGGGATTGAATCTGCTCACAGCCGCAGGAAAAGAATCCAGATGGCCACTAATGATGTCCAGCTACCTCCAAACCTTTGATAAGAGGCTTAATGGATGAACAAATCCATAACAACTTTATCCCAATCTACAAGCACGGTGGATTCTGAATGAAGTTAAAACAAAGGAACCATGGTGAAGTATCTATGATATCAGTGGAAGGAGTTCATGGGCGATTGAAAACCTGAGCATGTTGCTCTGAATTCCACCAAACATCCTGTCATGAGGGTTGAACATTAGGTTGTGAAAATGCCAGACATGTGTCACCACAAGTTCAGGACACAAGTGGGCAGCTCAGTGACACAGGCAGAAGACAGGACATTGTGCGAAACACATGCACAGACAGAAAGACAAGGAGTCAGACCCACCCACTTCCAGCAAAAGGGAAGAAAGAAGCCTCAAGGCAAATGAGAGATCTGATCCAAGCCGAGGTCTGACACCTGGAGGAGGAAGAGTTACGGTCAAGTCCTGCGGAATGTGGATCACAAGAAATTTGGACCATGTGGGATCAAAGCAAAAGATGACGTGTCCTGCACTTTGGATACTGGAGCACTTCCATGTCACTGTCCTGCTTTGATGGATGAGCTAAACTCTTCCAACACAAGAGTGGAATGAGAAGGATTCACTGTGCAAGTCATGTGGAAAGAGAAGCGCGTTGGCGCACATATTGACAGGGTGCGAGACTACGCTTTGCCAGGGGGGATACAGATGGCGACACGACAAAGTCCTCAGTGCGCTGGCTGACAACTTGGAGCAGGACAGATGGAAAAGAAACCTAAGATACATGTGAGACCAGCCCCATCCATCCAGTTTATTAAGAAGAGGAGATCACTGAGAAGGCAGAGGATTAAGGAACTGGGAAAAAACTGCACTTTCTTGTGGTTGTTCAAACATATCTGAAGGCTTATATAGTCATATGGTCAGAGGAGGCAAAGAGGATCGTCATGATCGAACTGATGGTCTCGTGGGAAAAAAGAATGCAAAGAGAGGAAGGCCACCAAGTACCAGGACCTGATACAACAAAGCAGTGAATGTAAGGGTGGCAGGGCTGGGATCCTCACAGCTGTGGGAACAGAATGAAGGGAGAGGAAGACAGCAACTTGTTGGTTAAGAGAGGCAGTGGAAAGAATAGTTTATCATTTAGTAGCACCAGTGCCACTTGACGTATCCAAGAAAAGTTAAATTCAGGGCAACTGGACTTGGTTGTAGATACTGAACAAACCTCTTGGTAAGGAGTTGAAACACCTTCAAGTTTCTACAACCAAGTCCAGTTGCCATCAATTCAACTATGAAGCTTCGCAGTCGAGAGATTGACTTTTGTCCCACATTACACTGAACAGTTACATTCTGGTGCCCACCTGAAATGTTTGTATTTATTTATCATAATTAAATGTATCGAGGCATAACAAATATTTTAATGTTAACATAAACTGTTAATACAGGCGCTTGTTAGATACAATAACCCTGACATCTGCATGTGTCATCTTGTTTGTCTGTGATGCCTTTCCTTTGCATTCTGAGGAAAATTGCCCTTTGGGACAAATACAAGTGATCTGAACTGGATTACCTGCAGTAGCGATAACCACATGTGGTCCTGTTCCATAGCTCAGGGACACAATTTTCTTTCCGCACAAGACATCAATCCTGCGGGGCTCAATAGTGCTTTGAAGATCTCCGAGCCCTAAGCAGCCGCTGCAGTTGGTGCCCAGCGCAAAAACCTGCAAATACCAACAGACATCGCTACTGTGATGCTTTATGATATTAATAAATTATACATGAATATGACATTTAAGTGTTCACTGACACTGGTACCCCAGCACAAATTTGGCGAGTTGACACAATGGGAGGGGACTTAATAGCAAAGTAAACTGGTATGTGAATCAATTACAAATCATTATCAATTAATTGGTCTATTAAGGTTTTCTTCAATTGTCTGTTGAGTCTCTATAATATAATATATACAATTTTAAGAAAATTGTGAAAAATGTCCATTATACCTTCCTAGTGCCAGAGCAGAGATATTTGTAAGTAATATCTTGTCAAATGATAGATGGAATAATCAGTTCAACAAACATTCATTTCTATACCACAATCATCTGCATTGAAACATAAACTATTTGGACTAAAGGGAAAAACAAATGAGCAGGGGTGGAAAGATGAGGCGCGCTGTGCACCTTTCCACAGGATAAAAATGGAGCTTGCTCAGGCATTAGGCCTATATGGCTAAAGATAGCCTCATTCTATCTGCTTATCCCTGGGCTTGGAACTGCATCTTGTATCAGCCGGAGAGAACCAGAGAGAACTGATGCTATTTTCTAACCACCTGTACACAGAAAATAATCTAACTGGTATTATAAAAAGAAGGTTAAGTCAAGTCTTGCTGAATGTCTTAATGTAAACAAAAAGATTAAAAGAAACCTGGCTTAAGGTCCAAGTGTTACCTCATCATTAACAGTGACATAGAGGGCTTCATTTGCAGCACTGCCAAAGACACAGGCCTGCCGGATAAGCCGCAGTTCCTCTGGAGGAAGGAGTGCAAACACTGGCCACTTCCCCACGTCCAGCATGCTACTCAGCTGTGAAAGGGAGTGAAAACAGAGTTGAACATATGTTAATATGAGACATCAAGATAATTTAATTTGAAAGTGGAATGTGCTGAAGCTAGAAATGCGAGAAGATCAGAATTAAAGAACACTGAAAAAGTTGTATTGTGAGTGGTCTGCAGATTTCTTTGAACTTGGGGTATTCTTTGAAATAATTAATGATTTATGCTGGAAAGCAAAATGCTGAGTCACAGCCAAGCAGTAATATGCTGAAGTTGTCGAAAAAGCCATTCCTGCTCCAGTTAGTAAATCCTTGACTGCATACAAATCGTTCTTCTTTTTAATAATACAGTGATTACAATAAAAGTCAGGCAAAACCAGACCAAAGGAAGGTCAAACTAGATTTGAATGAAGAGAAAAGAGAGATGGAAATTATGCGCCGTCCAGTCTGCAGCAACAAATGCATAAAGTTAAAACAAGGTGGGTAAATTATCCACTAGGTTTTCCAAATCTCAAAAAGGCACTCAGGGGCACAGACAGCAACTGGGCAGAGTCCATCTTTGCAGACAGATTAAAACAGACTGAGATAAACTCATTAACTATGTGTTTACTGAGTTCTCTCCTCCACCATATCTGAAACCTAATACAACATTTCCAGAACAAACTCCTTTTTATAATTTGCAATCTTGATGTCACCTGACTGGCACACCCAGATTACACAAAGGGATTTGAAATAAACTGTCAGGCGGCTGTGTTTAATGGAGATGGGTTTATCTGCTTGGCTCAGGTTGTTTTTCCAATGATCAATATATGCTCATAAAACTTGTCTCTTTGAATACAGTTGCCTTCCTGCAAACTCAGACTTTGAATGGCACATTACAATGTAAAAGCCACAGAAGGGAAATAACGCATTTAATATAGCTAACATTATGAAGCAATACCGTCGATTATTATGAATAATATAGCAAAGTCCAACATTTCCTACTCGGTTTAATGAGCCATAACTTGAAGTTAGCATCAGCCCACAGCACCGCCGGACAACACTTCCAATAGGAAGGGTGCAAACAAACGACGCTAAAGGTGCGAGGCGTGTTGCATCGTAATCAAACAAGCCAGCAGCACAAACGTTATTGTAGCATTGTCATTAATGAACAAAGTTCCACGCAACGGCGAATAACAACAAAGCTAATTAACGACAAAGCTAATTAACATGCGGAGTGTTGTTGTTGCTGCTCACTCGCTTCAAGCTGTTGTCGTTACCTTACAGTCGCTTTAGCTAGCGTCTCGTCCGCAGCGTCGTTTCCTACCCGACAGTGACGCTGAGAACTCGCCAGTCAACATATTGGGAGAATCAAGTTGTTGGTGGAATCATGTCGGTTCACTCATGTGTCATAAATTCACGTCAGTGGCCGTGGTTGAGCCCTGTTGTCGCTAGCTTTAGCTTTAGCTGCTACACCGACTGAAAAACACCGCACCTCCTTACTTCCTGTTGTTAGCTGCTGCGTTCAATGACAGTCGGAGATCGGGGCTTTTGATAATAATTTCCTAACTGGTTTCTTATTTATGTCTGGTGTTTTCACTGTGCGTGTGCGTGTGCGTGTGTGTGTGTGTGTGTGCAGTCCAGGTTTTACTATTACTTATTACTATGGGGACTTGTCTTTCTTACAAGGACAACAATGAAGGCCAAAACATTAGAACATTTAAAGTGAAGACATGTTTTAGGTTAAGCTTAGGTTTGGAATAAGATAAAGTTTAGATTGAGATTGGGTTTAGATTAAGATTAGATTTAAGTAAAGATTTGGTTTAGGTTAAGAATATGTTCAGATTAAGATTAGGTTTAGATTAAGATTAGATTTAGGTAAAGATTTGGTTTAGGTTAAGAATATGTTCAGATTAAGATTAGGTTTAGATTAAGATTAGATTTAGGTAAAGATTTGGTATAGGTTAAAATCAGATTCAGGTTAAGATTAGGTTTTGGTAAAGATTGGGTTTAGGTTGAGATTAGGTTTAGATTAAGATTGGGTTTAGATTAAGGTAAAGATTTGGTATAGGTTAAGATTAGATTCAGGTTAAGATTAGGTTATGGTAAAGATTGGGTTTAGGTTTAGATTAGGTTTAGGTTACATTTAGGTAAAGATTAGGATTATTACATTGAGATTAGGATAGGGGTAAGGCTAAAGTAAATCTCCAGGAGTGTGTGTGTGTGTGTGTGTGTGCATATTAATTTTTGTAAACTCTTTAGGACATTTTCCAGTATCACACTGACCTTGTTAGGACCAGTTTCCCAAACTTAGTACTAATGTGGCTAAATGTAATTTTTGAGGTCCTGGTTTAGGTTAAGGGTTAGATGTGAATTGTGTTAATTTTAGGGGCATAAATTGGCCAGAGGTTAATTAGTTAAGGTTTTGGTTAGGTTGTTCACATTTACTGATTGTCAGTGCAAACCATAACTGTGCAAACTTGCCTCATCCTCCATGGTTCCATCATGACAAGATGTGACAGGTGAGGATATTTGTGCAGGCAGATTTAGTCACAGTCACAAAACTTTAAAACTGATGTTACAATAAAGGCCCAGGTCAGAGGTGGTGGGTGTGGTCTGAGCCATGAGTACTGCACAGATCTTATAATGATAAGAGGAAGACACATGCACAACGCTATCAATGGTCACTATTATTTATGTTATGCCTTCAATGGAAGAAGAAAATGTTTCACTCATTTTAGTGGCGGAGGCAACATTGCACTGCTTAATAGAGTCCAGGGGGGGCAGTGGAGAGCTACAGACAGGTACTTGTGTGGGCCAAAGCCATAGATTTTCAGACAATAATAGCTAATAATAGCTAATATTTTATGTCGAAAATAAATCATGTGTATTGTCGTTTGTACCATTTTAATAAATTGTGAGTTAATATTTCAGATACTGTCTTTTCTCTACTTTCTCATATTTAAAGGCCTTATCTATAAATAGCCCTTTCCATCAATTAAAAAGCACCTATGCAACAAAAACTGTTATATTATATAAATACAGTTTATTATAATGATTGCACATATCTCATCTCATATAATTTTGACAATGACAGATATGTTGTCGAAGTCCTAAAAGATACTTGAGACCTGGAAAAATGTGGGAGTGGTTTGGGATTATTTGTTGGAAATATTTAAGACAGTGATAATTTAAATATTGTTTCTTACAGTTATTCTAGTCCAGGAAACACAGCATAAATGACTATAGAAAACAATTTAGTTCTACAGAAAACTGCTAAAGAAATACAGTTTATAACTCCGTTATTATTATTACACAATTGAATGTGTCTCATATATTTTTGAAAATGACAGACATATAATCGAATTATCAAATATATTCTTGAGACTTAAGACATTTTTGGGATTTACAATTGTTTCATATAGTTTAAAACAAATGTAGACAATGAACGTTTAGTCATTGGTTCTTACTGGGATTGTGGGGTGCTACATCGACATAATGTCTCATTAAATTCTGACAATGCCAGACATGTTCTCAAAAGATTTGCAAGCTATATGATGAACATGACCCCAATGACCCACAGAATATAAATGTACAGCAAAAAAATTACGATTTTCATTTTTCTGAACTGTGCAATTTTCCTTACTACAAGAAAAATGGTCAGTTGAGGTTGTGCACAGATTTTTCTGGCTATATAAGCCTGTTGCCCCCTTGACCGCTGCCACTCTAACTGCGGACTAATAAAGAGTTGGGAACTAAGTGGGACTGAAGCTAAAACCGAGTAACCTATATGGTGTATCAGGTCCACAATTCTTGAATTGAGCAAGTAGGGATACGGAAATGATCACTTCGGTTCGACACAAGGTCTCTGCTAAGATTGGAGCCTTGGTGGTCAGCAAGTTCCAGCAAACCGTCTGGTAACCCCTCAACCCTGCCATTTTCAGATATGTCCCTTGTGGCTGATAACTGCTGCCGCATTGGACGGTAAGGTTGAGGCCTCATCTGTGGCAATAACAAGGTTGACTATGATCCCTCTGACAGGGATGCTTATGATGATGATAGGTGCTAACACTGTACTATATTCATCTTTCAACAACCAGTCTACATCGATGGGCAAAGATCCTGCGATGGCCTCCATTCGCCTCCGGGCATTATCAAGTTATCAGACAATTATTGTCACAGTTAGTCTTGGCTGCGAGGTGAATGATGTGTTGTAAAATGGTTGAAATAGGCTTCCTCGCTTGCGGGCTCCTCTGATGACGTCCTTAAATTTGTCTTTGTCTACCTCATCATACTCATTGAGGAGATCATTGCTAGTGATCATTTCTCCAACAATATCATCAGTGATCATAAAGTTGAGTGTCTTCATTCCTATCCTGCTGCTTGTGAAGGATGTTCAGAGCAAGTATGAGGCAACTATGCCATATTTGAGGGACTCCATCATGACATCAGTGAGGGCCCAAGAGAGCATGTTGATGTGGAATTGCCAAAACTGTTAATAATAACAGTAATGTTTTCATTAGTGTGGTTCATTGAAATTGTACAAAAACTTTATATTTATATCAGGAGTGAGTCCTCTCTACAGTTGTCCAGACTGGACAAACTAAACACCTTTTGAGTTTTTATGTCCACTAAAGGCTACCACAGGTTCTCTAGCATGTTTGGAAGAGGAGAGTGAGGTGAAGGGTATTCAGCTACAATTGCAACTCCACCACCAGATGTCACTAAATCCTACACACTGAACCTTTAAGAAGAAACATATATCCTTAATATAATGCCCAACCTACTTATTTGCACAACTATCAAAGAAGATGATATTTCAACAATAATTCTTTTTTCAATCAAATTTTGATTTTATGGAACTTTCTTTATAACATATGCAAATAAGAAAAGAAAAAGGAAATTCTTGAAATGAGTTACCGCAGTGCTCACAATCACAAAAACCAAACAAGACAAAACGAACAAAACAAGAAATAAATAATGTAGAATAAAAAAAATACAACAATAGTTAAAAAACAAAATAACCGTAACCATAACAACGGAAGTGGTGATCTGCATATTTCAAAATAAAAGACTGTACTTCAATCCGTGTGGGAATTTCCTACGGCCCTGTCCCTAATACAGCGCAACAACACACCACTACTACACTGGTAACAAGTCAGTAACAATGACTCGGTACATTTTAATCCACACTGATCGAGACTGACAGTGAAAAATTCGCAGTTAAAGTGAATCATAGGTGATTTTCCTGGCCCCGTCGCATAGTGCACGTATTTCTCCATGACTGACTCGATGCACGAACCAACCACAGACACGTCAACCTTAACTTCCTCATCAAAGGCATGCAAACGCAGAAAGACACACGAGTTTCACTATAAATGAACCGGATATCGGTCACGCCCGCGACATTAACCGAAACTAAATCTACCGCAACAAAATGTTGTACACTTTTGAAGAATTTGGGACTCGTCATGATCTGCTGTGACGCGCATGCGCAGACAGCCCTGTGAGCGATGGCAAAATTCCTGCCTTTTATGCGCGGAGCGGTGTTGGATGGAAAGTTATCTCGATAAAACTGGCGATTAGGATAAAGATATCGACACTTTGCATCGTCGCTGACACCCGCCGGCTGTTTCTGGTTGCTTTGGGTGCAGCCAGCGCACGCGATCGTCGTTCGTACTCAAGAGGAAGAGCACATCTTCATCTTGCTAACTATAAGCTGTGTAGCATTAGCGGGCTAGCGCTAGCATGTCACAACCCTGCCTTGTCCTGTGTGTATCTAGGTAGCTAGCTAGCTCTCAGTCCCAGGTGTTGCAGACAGTAGCCGGTCACCGGAGCTCGCTGACGTAAAGATATTGTTCGGGGGGAGGAATCATCACCGTGCATCGGCGTGTCTGTCCGGGACTCCTGCTGCTGCTGTGTCGACTGACAGAGTGAGTAACGTGAGCTGCTGGCAGTAAGTCTCCAGTGCTGCTGACAGTGTGCGATGTATTCACCGTGTTTCTTAGAAATCTCGAAATATACGTCAAATCTTTGCGTTTGTTCATGAGCCGTCAATGTTGCTACGACTATTCCGCAGTTAGATAATAACCAAGAGCTGTGACATAACGCGGAGCACACACACACACACACCTGTAGCTAGAGTAAACAGTTTTCTTGGCTGCGAGTTAGCTAACCTGATTAGCACGAATATGGCAAATAGGGAACACTACATCTGAATATTGACTTCAGTAATGTGACATGTTAAACATAAGCGTCTGACCTGCTAACAGTGATGCTAAGCAGCAGGGTTAGCTAAGTGGCTAACAACAAGTGTTAGCATAAATATGGCAAATAGGGAACTCTACATCAGAATATTTACTTTTATTCTTATATTCAGTAATGGGATATGTTGAACACAAGTGTCAGACCTGCTAACATTGATGCTAAGTGGCTAACAACAAATGTTAGCATAAAAATGGCAAAAAAGGAAAAACCACCTCTGAACATTGACTTTTATTCATATATTTAATAATGTGACATGTTAAACATTAGT